TGTGCTATTTTGATCACCACAAGGATTGGCATTCTAGTCTTTTCAAACATCCACAAATTCATCGACTTCATAGCCACCATAAGAGATGTGTTGTGAGTTGGATTCTATCTTCTGCCACTGGAGATTTATCAATGAACACACCTGCCACCACCAAGTCCTGAAAGAACAACCATCAGAGCTTACTCCATCCCATTTAATTGGTCCCACATCCCATAACATTTGTGCTCTTAGACAGTAAAGTAATACATGCTCTATTGTTTCAGGGGAGTCTCCATATCATGGGCAAAGAACATCCACCGAGGCCTCTTCTTATCAAATTTGTGTTAACAGAGGGAGTTCTAGAAATACACTTCCAGATGAAGTGTTTTATGATCTCTTTAATCCTCAAGTTCCAGCCTCTGAGTCAAGCTCTTCCGATTGAAGTTGTGTGCAAGCTAGATTATGGGACATTTAAGATAAGGAGCTTCTGTTTGATTAAGTAAGAGTAAGTGGAGGAGACTGTGAACTAACCTTTCTTACCTTTCTTGTCCAAGCACCAGTAGAATCTGTCAATTTCTAGGATTCAGAATTTTGATATTCAGAATAGCTTGACTATCTTCAGCATTGAACATTTGCATCACCAACAAGGCATTCCAGCCCATCCCATTATCTAGCATTAGTTCTTTAACCCATGTTATGTGACCTCTAGCTATATCCAGCAACATAGGTTTAGTGAGGGGTAAGGCTGGGACCCTGTTAATATCCTCAATTTTTGTGTTTTCTCCATTTCTAATTTCTGTTCTGAGACCTCGGGAGAGAAGAGGTAAACGGTGCAACCAAGTATACCAAATCCAAGATCCATTCTGAGTTTTAGTGACTTCAAAAATTGAGTAATGTGGGAAGTACTATCTTTTCCATAGTTGTTTGCAAAGAAGTGCCTCATAAAACAAACACACATCCTTGAAGCCCATTCCCCCATCTGCCTTAGGAACAGAAGATATTTCCAGGCCTTCCAATGAATGCCTCTATCATGAGAATCACTTTTACACCACCAAAATTGAGCACTGATACTTGAAATATCTTTGCAAAGAGAGACATGAAGTTTAAAGCATGTCATTATCAATATTAGGAGAGCATTAAGAACTGCCTTTATAAGAACTTTACCATTTGTAGAGATCATTTTGTTCTTCTAGCCCCACAGTTTTGATTTGACTGAGGCAAGGACATAGGAGAAGACCTTTGACTTGGATCCGCCAAAACCAAAAGGTAGTCCAGATACCTTGTAGAGGTATGGAGCTGTATTCCTTGAGAGTAGCACAAACCTGGGATTAAACCGTGAGATGGGTGTTCTTACTAAAGAATATTGAAGATTTTTAGAGACTCACCCTTTGCCCTGTAAAAAGCTTGTACCTCTTCAATAGAGCCAACAACACATTAGCTTGGTCAATCTTAGCCTTACAAAAGAAAAGGATATCATCTTCAAATAATAGGTGAGATAGAGTAGGTCCATTTCTAGAGAGTTTGAGGCCAACAAGTCTCCTCTATGCAAAGAGTTAGAGATAAGAGCAGAGAGTAATTCAGTGACAATGACAAACAAATAGGGGGATAAATGATTCTCATGTCTTATACCTCTAGAAGGATAGACTACACCACTCAAAGAACCATTAATGCAGAAGGATAAATAAATGGTAGTAACACAAACCATGAGTAACTTCACAAACACTGGACTAAAACCCATCTGGGCCATTATTTTGTTTATGTACCCCCATTCAACTCTATCAAAGGCTTTTATAAGGTCCAACTTTAAGGTCATGAAACAGTTTCTCCCTGATCTATGCCTGTTGAGGTAGTGAAAGGCCTCATGGGTAATAATTATATTATCTAATAATTGCCTACCCTATATAAAATCTGATTGACAATAACTAATACAAGAACTTAGATAGGCTTTCAGTTACTCAATTTAAAGTGAGTAAACAGAATTCCATACTCGATCTCATAGATACATATAGAATTCTGCGGAAATCCGTATTCGATGAAAGTTGTATGTACGGCTTGAAGAGGAGGGGAGGGGAGTACTTGGTTCGAAGGGAAGGGGATGGGAGTACTTGGAGTTAATCCTTCTCATAGCCAGCAATTTGGAAAGAACTTTATACACTACAATGCATAAAGATTGTCCATAATCACTCAAGATTGCAAGAATTATATTATCACAATCGATATAGTAGTTCGTATTTAAGTGAAATATTTTATATTACTATGGTTTATTTTTTAATAATAAAAATTATAATATGTGATATGCTCATGTTATCAAACTTATAATTTAAGTACTATATATACACAAAAATATAACTTATAAACTTTTATTTGCATATGTATGTGTAAACAGGATCTAATACTACCTATTAAAGTATCAGGAGTTGTTAAGTTAAGGAGTTGTTAAGTTAATTAACGTAAAACTAAGCGCTTAAATGGCGCGATTGGCTACAAACATTTAACGGGTTTTGATTGACTAAACAATTTTTTTTTACACTATTTGACTCAAAATTCAGTTCAAATTAATTCCAGACGAACTCTTCCCCATATTATTAATATAATAAATTAATACCAATCAATCGTTTTTGTGAATCACATCAATTTAATATCTATTCATTACTCATATATTTTTAACTATTTATCATTTCTAATAATTTATTTCATATTTTTACATCACATCAATATATTTAAATACAAATTTTACTCAATCAACTATATATAACATTAACTTACTTTAACCAATAAATCAAATCAAAACCGATTGTATTTATATGCAATCTCTCCTACATATGCAAGCACAAAACAATCCTATTTATCGTCCTCGTCTTTCCCTCTGAATTGGAATCCTTGGCAATGCATATTTCCAAAAGGAGGAAAACGAAAAAGAAGATTCTCTTGTTAAAAATGGTCCTTAATTATTTATTTATTCTACACAAAAAGCAACTCAGCACACAAAAATCGCATTATAAAAACCTATATTGTACATAAACATAAACAAATATTACTTTTTTTTATAATAAAAACTATATAATCTATTAATATTATTTAAAAATTCAAATTATTTAAATTAATATTCTTTATAAATATTTATTCTAAATTAAATAATATTATTTTATTTTATGATAATATTTTAAAATTAAATAAAATTATTTAAATTTATATTTTTAATTAAATAAATTTATTTCAATTAAATAATTTTAAATCAAGTTATATTATTTTAAATTAAATAAAATTATTCAAATTTATTTCTGCAAATTAAATATAAATTATTTAAATTAATATTTGTAAACAAAAATAATTTAATAATAAAATTATTTAGATTAAATAGCATTTTTTAAATAAAAAAATAAAATTTAATTAATATTTTTTAAACTAAATAATAATATTTTAAATTAAATAAAATTATTTAAATAAATAATATTTTTTAAATTATGTATAGTATTTTTTGGATAAATGGTCATCTCATTAGTGGGATAAAAATATTCCACCTATTTGATAAGATATTATTATCCAACCACATATGCATCTCCGCATGGGACCTACCTGTCACATGGGCTAAATCCTAGTCTCAATCAGGTTAACGCAAGATAAGAGTGGTTAAGGCAGATATCCCATCCCATCCTGGTAAGTAAACAAAGCCTTAAAGTATCAGGTTTGAGATGTTGATTAACGTATCAAACTAAGCTCTTAAAGGGCGTGATTGGCTACAAACATTTAATGAGTTTCTAAAACAATTGTTTTACACTTTTTAACACAAAATTAATCCAACTTAAATTAAATCCAACCGAGATCTTCCAAATATTATCAATATAATTTAGTAATACTAATCAATCGCTTTTGTAAATCACATCAACTTTAATCACAATCTACTTATATATTCTTAACTAGTATTTGATCCTGTGCATTTGCACAGATATAAAACACGTTTTTGTTTGTATTTATTAATTAGACATGTACTTCTATCATATAAAATTATAACATTTTTTTAAGTTATTTTTATCATTCAAAATTAATTGAGATTTAAATTTTATTTTAGCTATGCAACGTTTAAATTAATAACATGAATAAAATAATTTATATATTTGTGGCATATATTAAGAAAATTAACATAAATTAAAAAACTTTTGGTGTTTCTGATTTTTAGAAAAAAGAAATATATGTCAATCATAATTTTCTTCCAACAATACAACCAAATATAGCACTTACAACTTTGCATTTATCAATCAACTTTAAGTTTCAACATTAGTCGTTACACATTTGAATATTTTTCTACCAAATTTAGAATTAATTTAGTAACTGATCCAAAAAATAAATAATAAAAAAAATTAAGGTGTAACGGTTTTAGCAGATTAGTGAGTAATTAATTAAAAAATTTTTAACTCTTTTTGGAGGGAAAGGAAAATAAGATTTTATTAAATGTTTTATTAAATGCACCAGCCAGTAATTATATATATATATATATATAT